TATAGCGCTGAGCTTGCGCGGCTTCTCCACCGCGAACGCTATGTGGAATCATCTCCGTGGGCTGCATACTCAATCAAGTGCTTCTCGTAAGTTCGAACTCGAGCTTGCGCTTGCTCAATTGTCTCAAGGCGATATGGATGTTCGTGCCTACTACCAGGAGGCGGTCACTCTTTGGACGGAACTTGATTTATTAACTGCCTCACTTGTCTCAAGTTCGGCTTCAGCTGAAATTCTTCAAGAACGTGCTAGCTCGCGCCTAATGACCTTCTTAATGAAGCTTCGTCCGGAATTTGAAGGTATTCGCTCTTCGCTTCTTCATCGAAATATTGCTACTATTGAGGCTGTTTTAGGTGAGCTGATTCGGGAAGAGACAAGGCTGCGGAGTCAAGCTAAAATTGACTTACATGGTGCGGATAATTCAGCTTCAGCATTCTTGGTACGTGGGGCAGGTTCTTCTGTCGGTTCTGCTGGTGATTCCGTGTCTGGGACTGGTTCTTCAGCTGGGGATCTCTCGGCATATGCTGTGGGTTCTGGCCGGCCTCGATTTCATCGTGCTTCCAGTGGTCCGGTGATTTGTTTTCATTGTAAAGAGCCCGGACATGTTAAGCTTCATTGCCCTAAGAGAAATGAGTGCAACTACTGTAAGGAAGCAGGTCATCAGATTGGGGCATGCCCGATTCTAGCTAGAAAGGGACGGGCTCGGGCTGGAGCTTCTCATCGCGGGGTTGTTGCTGCTCCTGCCTATGCTGTGGCTCCCTTCTCTCCTGCCCCTGCTGGTCTTACTCAGGATTCTATTCGTCAAATGCTTCAGGAAGTGGTTCGTGATGCTCTTCCATCTGCCTTAGGCTCAGTGTTCACAGCGGGTATGCCTTCTCGTTCTTCTCCCACTTGGCATCTTGATTCGGCTGCATTTAATCATATGACTAGCTCTAGTTCTTCTTTTCGTCGCCTGCAATCAGTCGATTCCCCTCAGTTACAGGTGGCTGATGGGTCTTGTATTACTGCTAAGGGGATAGGGGTGATCGATCAGCCTGGGATATGTCTTCAGAACACTCTTTATGTGCCCAAACTTGTCCCTAATTTGGTTTCAGTTGGACAATTGGCGGAGTCTGGCTGTAGTATCACCTTTGATGACAATGGTTGTGTTGTGCAGGACAAGAGAACGGGGAAGGAGCTAGGACACGGGACTAAGGTTGGTCGAGTTTATCAGCTGGCGCGGTTTGATGGCTTTGATGGGCGGCTGGATTTGGATGGAAAGGGTGCCCATTTCGGGTTGTCATCAGATCAGACTGTTGGTTTTTCTGTTAATTTGTCAAATTGGGATTTATGGCATCGACGTTTGGGACATCCCCACTCGGCCTGGTTGTTAGAAATGTTTAAGAATAAGCTTTTGTCAGGCACTTTTGTTAATGATTCTTCCCATCCATGTACTCATTGTTTGGAAGCAAAACTTTCTCAGCATTCATTTAGTTCGAGTACTACGCCTTATACTGAGCCATTTGAGTTGGTTCACACAGATTTGTGGGGTCCATCTACAGTTACCTCTCGTGTTGGTTTTAGATACTTTGCTCTATTTATAGATCAGACTACTCGTTTTACCTGGGTATATTTTCTACGTCAGAAGTCTGATCTTCTTGGGATAGCTAAAGAGTTCATTCAGATGATTCAAACCCAATTTGGGAAGACAATAAAGGTGATTCGATCTGATCCTGGAGGGGAATTCTCATCTGGACCATTGCAAGTTTTTTTTAAAGCACACGGGATTCTTCCTCAACAGTCTTGTCCTGGCGTATCTCAGCAAAATGGGTTGGTTGAAAGAAAGCATCGACATGTCTTGGAATTAACTCGGGCACTTCTGTTTCAGTCTAACATTCCTACAACATTCTGGGTTGAAGCGGTACACACTGTGGTGTACTTAATTAACCGGCAGATCACGCCTGTGCTCGCCCAACGAAGTCCGTATGAAGCCCTGTATCAGCGTCAGCCTGACTATGCGTGGCTTCGTGTATTTGGGTGTATTTGTTATGTGCTTCTTCCGAAGCGGGAGAGACACAAACTTAGTCCAAAGGCAACGAAGTGTGTGTTTGTTGGTTACAGTGACAAACACAAGGGGTACGTATGTTACGATGTGGTGAATCGGCGTATTCGGATTTCTTGTCATGTTGCATTCTTGGAGCATATGTCGTATTATGCGGAGAAGAGTTCTGAGGCCAAGAAGGATGTGAGTTTTCTTCGCCCCCAGCTTTTCTTTGCCGAACCTCCTGATGCTTCTTCACCTGCTAATAATGATCATGATTCATCCGTGGCTGGATCCATTTCCATGGATATAACTAATGAGTCTCCCACCAGCTCTTCGGCCTCTTCTCATAGGTCGGACTCATCGCCATCATCACGAGCTGATTTCTCTCCTCACTCGAGCATGGGTTCTTCTAGCTCGAGCTTGGATCTCACGCTGTCCGGGCAGGCGTCCTCGCAGTCCTCCCCCAATTCCCCTCCTGTTCCGCGACGCTCCCTACGCGCTACCAAAGGGCAACGTCCCTTGCATTTTTCTGATTTTGTTACTTACTCTACTACTCCACTATTTGTTCCAGCCACGTATAAGCAGGCCCATGGTGACAAGAATTGGGATGATGCCATGGCTGTTGAGACTCAAGCTTTGGAAGCATCCCATACATGGGATATTGTTGATCGTCGTCCTGACATGTCGGTTATTGGCTCTAAGTGGGTGTATACAATTAAAATGCACCCGGATGGTTCGATTGAGCGGTATCGTGCTCGTGTAGTAGCTCAAGGTTTCAAGCAGGAATTCGGCATTGACTATGAGGAGACATTCGCACCTGTAGCTAAAATGCAGACGGTTCGGACATTGTTGGCTGTGGCGGCAATGAAGGGATGGAGCTTGAAACAGTTGGATGTCAAGAATGCGTTCTTGCACGGCGATTTAAAAGAGACAATCTATATGGAATGTCCTCCAGGTTATGCCAAAGGGGATAAATCTAAGGTATGTTTACTTCGTCGATCGTTATATGGCTTGAAACAAGCTCCCCGGGCTTGGTTCGAGAAATTTCAAGGTACTATTCTACAGGCTGGTTTTCGTCAGAGTGACAATGACCCATCCTTGTTTCTTCGCCGTACGGCTCATGGGTTGACTGTGTTACTCATTTATGTTGACGATATGGTGATTAGTGGAGATGATGCCCAGGGAATTCAGTTACTCACTCAAACTCTTCGGGATGCCTTTAATCTCAAGGAATTGGGTGATCTGTCCTATTTTTTGGGACTTGAGATACATCGTTCCCCTGCTGGTCTGTTTGTTGGTCAACAGAAATATATTGTGGATCTTCTTGAGACTGCGAACATGGATTCCTGTATACCATGTTCGACACCAATGGAACAGCATCTGAAACTTCGCCTGAATGATGGGGATCTCTTACCTGATGGGTCAACATATCGTAGCCTTGTTGGGAGTTTAATTTACTTGACCCATACTCGTCCTGACATTTCATATGCTGTTCAGGTGGTTAGTCAATTTATGGCGGCTCCTCGCTCATCTCATCTCGTCGCAGTCATGCGGATTCTTCGTTATCTTCGTGGTACTCAGGATGTTGGTCTTTTCCTTCCGGCTGATAGTGATTCTGTGCTTGAGGCCTATGCGGATGCTGATTATGCAGGGTGTTTGGACACGCGTCGTTCTACGTCTGGGTGGTGTGTCAAACTTGGGTCCTCATTCATTTCTTGGCGTTGCAAGAAGCAGGATCGGGTGGCCAAATCTTCTACTGAAGCAGAGTATCGCTCGATGTCAGAGGTCACCTCTGAGCTCGTCTGGCTTCGGCGCTTATTAGGGGACCTTGGCGTTTCGTGCCAATCTCCTATGTGTTTATATGCTGATAATACCAGTGCCATTAGGATTGCCACCAATCCTGTCCTACATGATCGTACGAAGCATATCGAAGTTCATGTTCACTTCATTCGTCAACTGGTTACTGAGGGTCAGCTTGCCTTAACCTATATTACTTCTGAAGATCAGACGACAGATTTGTTAACCAAGGCTGTTGCTACTTCTCGTCATTGGTTTCTTGCACACAAATTGATGTTGCGTCAGCACCATCAATTTGAGGGAGGGTGTTAGAAGTTAAAGTAGCAAATTGTAATTAACCAGTTTTAGTGTTTAATTACGTAAGCCTAATAGGGTTAGGAGGCTGGGTATATATGTGGAAAAGCCTCCTCTGCTGTAACCTAAGATTTTCGGCTATCATTCTATAACATAGACTCTGAGAGGTTGCTCCTCTCCGTGGATTAGTCTCAACGATATTCGTTGAGGATACCACGTAAATCTGGTGTCGTTTTCGTTCTTGTGATCTCGTTTAACAAAACTACCTCATCAAACCAACAAACAATATTTCCACTATAACCTGAAATTACGTAGCCGCAAATCACACCAAAATGGACCCATCAATATTTCCTTCACCATTTGGCTTGTACTAATCACCGCCAGTCCGCCACCACTCCCGGCTTTTACCTCCCTTTATAAACCCCACTCATCCACCACTTCCACAAGTAGTACTACCTGCTAGCTAATTAGCTAGACCAAAACACTTGATCAACATACAAGGAAAAGGAAGAACAAGAGAAACTAAAAATGGCTTCTCTCACATTCCTTCTTCCTCTTCTTCTCCTCTCCATTTCTCTTCTCCACCCACATTTGGTCTCCTCCTCCGTCCAAGACCCCGACCTCGTCGTCCAAGACTTCCACAGGTACGTACATTCCATACTTCATAATGCACTTAAGTAACTTAAGTCACGACTCTTCGCCTCATTCTTTGGTTAATTAGGGCAATGAACGAGTCAAGAAGGAAGCTGTCCTACTTATCCTGCGGGACAGGGAACCCCATCGACGACTGCTGGAGGTGCGACCCAAACTGGTCAAAAAACCGCCAGCGCCTGGCCGACTGCGCCATAGGGTTCGGCAAGAACGCCATCGGTGGCCGAAACGGCAGGATCTACGTGGTCACCGACTCAAGCGACAACGACGCCGTCAACCCAAAGCCGGGCACCCTCCGCCACGCCGTTATCCAGGACGAGCCGCTGTGGATCACGTTCCAGCGCGACATGGTGATCACGCTGAAGCAGGAGCTGGTGATGAACTCCTTCAAGACCATCGACGGCCGCGGCGCCAGCGTCCACGTGTCCAGCGGCCCGTGCATCACCATCCACTACGCCACCAACATTATAATCCACGGCATCAACATCCACGACTGCAAGCAAGGAGGCAACGCCAACATACGCGACTCCCCTCATCACTCCGGGTGGTGGACCCCGTCGGACGGCGACGGGATCTCCGTCTTCGCTAGTAAGCACGTGTGGATCGACCACTGCACCATGTCCAACTGCCGGGACGGGCTGATCGACGTGATCCACGGTTCGACCGCGGTTACCATCTCGAACAACCACTTCACCCACCACGATAAGGTCATGCTGCTGGGGCACAAGGACTCGTACGTTCAGGACAGGAACATGCAGGTACGTAATGCACGGATTAACTGGTTCTTGACATGATATTAGAGACTTGATCACTTTTTTGCTACGTAACCACATAGGTGACGGTGGCGTTCAACCATTTCGGGGAAGGGCTGGTGCAGAGGATGCCGAGGTGCAGGAACGGCTACTTCCACGTGGCGAACAACGACTACACGCACTGGGAGATGTACGCGATTGGGGGGAGCGCGTCGCCTACCATCAACAGCCAGGGGAACAGGTTCCTGGCGCCCAACGACCACTCGAAGAAGGAGGTGACGAAGCACGAGGACGCGCCGGAGGGCGAGTGGAGGAGGTGGAACTGGAGATCTGAGGGCGACTTGCTGCTCAACGGGGCTTTCTTCCGCCAGTCCGGAGCCGGGGCCGGTACTTTTGCCAGAGCTTCTAGCCTGAGCGCTCGGCCTGCTTCTTTCGTTGCCGCCATGACGAGCACCGCCGGCGCGCTCACGTGCCGGAAGGGTAATCATTGCTGACTACCGGCCATGAAGTCAACGGTGTCAAGTCGTCTCAATATAAATCAAGGTCTTGATGATGATAATATATATAATAATATTACAGAACTGATGAAAGAGGGCTAAGATATATATGTAGCAATTACGGCGTCAATCAAGCCCGGAAAGTTTAAATGAAGAGTTTTTGGCTTTTGTTTTTCTTTAAAAAAAAATGTATCCATCAAAGTACGACCTCTGTAATTTCTTGCTTGGGGAAAGATGATGTAGCATGGGGAATAGTGGCTATACCAAAACTAATTAGCCCTATGGTTACTACACAATTAAGCGAATCAAGAGCAGAAGTGTTGACCTAGTAATTTTGAGTTTAATTAAGGTGTCAAGCTTGCATACTCTCTACTTATTTATCCTTTCATATATAGTTTAATTATTGTAGATCCTACTTCATACTAACATTATAAAAAAAAAACGTTTTTCTTTCTCGAAGGATGAGGATAAGACCGGCTTTTTATATTGATGACCGTGTCTCATTGTCTTGTTTCTATCTAATTTATGTCTAGGAAGTTTCTTACTTCATAATCGCCTTCTGGAACCAAACTTGTCATGGAATGCGTAGGCATCCAAACACATTTGAAATGTAAACAAGATTGTGTCTTTTTAAAATTTGATAATAGATTATGAAGAATGAATCAAATGAACGTACCGATTTGGCTAGCTCGATCTCGTGCCTTATACCAAATCTGCCTCATTCGCTTGATGAAATTAAGTTAGCGCATTACAAACCAGATATGGAAAGTATTGTGTGTGAACATAGACAAAGGGAATTCATGGTTCGGATCCTGAACCCGATTGATCGATGAGAACCTATTTTTTCCCCCTCTTTCCATTCACACCGCATGACACGATTATGAAAGACTTTGTATCGAGTCGGTTAGGGCAGAGTATATATTGACGGCGGCAATCACGGAGCAAGAAGGCTCTCTGTTGATGCAGCGACCATAATATAATAATAATCATTATAAAGTGGTTGGCTGAAGGTCGCACGGACCGACGAAAGTTGGCTACAGCCTGCCATGCCATGCATGCAATGCACGATCTTCACGTGCAAGTGACAAAACTCGATCATAATTACTCGTCGCCCACTTCAAGTTCTATGCTTATTATAGCATATCAAGCGTAACTGTGGTTATGCCATGATTAATTAAGCAAACGTTTTAGCGGGAAACAAGAAGGGTTTAGTTACTTAAATGACTAGTAAAAATTTGGGACACAAACAAACCAAGTGGAGGGGCAGATAAAATGAAATTTGTTGAGTACGTACGGGCTAAAGAGTTTTTTTTTTAAAATGAATGTGTGAATGCTTGTATTCGTAAAAATTGTGGAGGGTTCACTTATCGAATCCTTGTGCAACAAGGATTTGGTTCACCAGCTTCCTTTTTCTGCCGATACATGCATCATGGATCCCGCCGGTTCTTCTTCCGGTGAGCTCAACTTCAAGTAGTAGTTCCGGCGATGGTGAAGGAATAAAGCTCATACCTCATTCGGCAAATCCCAGTGGTCTCATTTACTTGGGCTCCTTTGCGATTAGGGCAATGGTCCTTGAGAACAGCCTGAGCTAGGGAGACACAATCAGCAATCTCCGCTTTTCTTCTTGTCACATCCACCCACGCGTAACCGTAGACACCCGAGTCAGGGCCAGCGCATTCCTGCTTTCCGGGCATCCCACCCTCACGTCTAAAACGAGACAGAATTTCTAGGAGACTGTAGGCGCACTGCAGCCGTAGGTCGCCGTCGTCGTAGAACTGCTCGGTGTTGCAAAGGTACAGGAACGTCAATTGTTGGGTATGAGTAATGATGTGGAGGATGATGAGAGTTGTAATGGCCATGCGGCTGCTGCTCAACCTCATCCATCTTTCCATGATCATCGATTATGAGTTATGACTGACTGATGAGTCTCAAATGTTGTTTCCGTTTGCTTTGCATTAATAATGACTCCATCCGTTGCAGCTAGCTACCGTTATGCATTCCTTTTCTAGATGGAGTTTGGTCGGCTCAGTGACAAAGACGGCCAGCAGAGGGGTATCTTAATTATCTTTAATTTGCTGGTTCCCCGAATTTCGTTTTCTTGTTTAATTTGATGCTCTAATTACTTCACACCAAAATTCCTATCTACCTATTAACAAATGATGAATAAGGAGATTTTAAAACTCTACACTAGCGTCACAAATTCAAATTCAAATTCTAATATCTCAAATTATGTTTTGTTGCACACTCTGATGACATGATCACTACAATCATCATATTCTAATATCCTATCCCAAATTAACCGGTAATCACACGTACTAACAATATGCATGTGTACGAATGTGGTCCAGCTAGCTAGCTTTGTTATTCAGAAATTTGGAGGCATCATCAACCTATTTCTCAACACCTGAGATGAAATCTCTTCAACAGCGAATTGCTTGTCCAAAACAGGGCAATCCAACTTGACATCAAAGTGAAATTACATCACACAACCGACCCACAACATGATTCGCCAATCCTGTACCCAAACTAACCATAAGCACAATCTGAACCCTCAATCGAAGATGAAAAACTGGGATTGACTTCTTACCCAGAATCTCAGCCTCCGAAGCGACCTCAGAAGTATCTGTTTGAGGATGATGAACGACTCCAGCTCTAATCTGGCGACGTATGACAGCTCCCCGACCCACTGAAGACAGTGGAATGCTCCCCCGAGTATTCTTGACTGCGACCCCAACAAAGTCTTACCAGTTTAGTGGTGAATTATATGCTTATGGTTGACTTCGGTCGACGGAAGTAATCTATCTTCTTCAAGATTCCTTCGCAAGTACGCCAAACCTTGCAATTCAGAAGCAAGACACGCCCTCCATCCAATTTGCACCCCTAACAAAAGAAAATTGTGAATCGCCAATTTGAAGCGGACGGTTGGTTTTGGTCGTCAACTCTTCTTTGATGGAATATATAATTCGGTGTATCATTGATTCAAAGCGGATGGTTGATTTTGGGCGATGATACTCTTCTTGGAGGGAGCCGAACCAAGTTGGTAGTGTGAAACTTCTTGCGGAGCATATTGCGGTTCGTCGATAGGGATGAGAGGATGGAGGAGAAGAGATTGGTACGGATCAGAGGGCAGTGTTTATCCGTCTTTTGGCATCTTTGGAGAAAACCTATAGTGGGTCACTTTTCACCCGTCAAAATAAGCTGTCAAAAATATCCTTTCGCAAATCACTTTTCAAGCAGGAAATTTGAATTGGAAGTGGTGGTTTTATTTTTCATTTATTAATTAGAGTGTGGACTTGACAAGGAGATTTCAAAACTCTATATTATATTCACATATTGAATAATGCTTGTTTTTCGAAGTTTCATATATATATATTTTTTATCATTTAAGAATCTTAATTTCCTCTCTTCTCATCATAACATCATTATATAACACTAGCTCAATGAAAGTTAGATAATCAAAACATAGCTTATAAATTACTTCTACATATTAATTGTAAAGTGAAAGTATAAACTATATATTGTGTATATGGCACGTCAATTCTTTCAGTGCTTACTTGTAGATAATATTGATTTAAAACTAATGATAATATCACTAGACTAAGTCCTTGTTCGCTCTTTCAATGCTCATTTACACTTTAAACTATTTGTGTAAGTGTACAATGGGTCGATTCCGAGAATTTGAGAATGGTAAATATCAATCCAAAAATTCCAAAATAGCATTATTGACTCTAAGGAGAACTATATAAATACGGTAACTTGACGAGTAAAAACTGGTTGTCTTGGGATAATGAAATCATGTGGAAAGTTCTTCAAGTTCGTAAATGTCATTGATTAAGGTTGTGAGAGAGTTCGACAGCAGATATGAATTTGTATGATTTTCATATTTTTCATTGTGCTTCTTCGATTTTTCAAGATAAACCATGTCGAAATGAAAAAAAAAAAAATTTCGAATGTATATAGGTATGGATACCAGAAGCCTGCCCTCGCCTCTTGCATCCTATAATATTAATTTCCATTAATTAAAAAAAACATATAAAACAAAAGTTGAGTACGTACAGATGAATTAATTCCATATTTAACAGCTCTCTCATCCGTAGTCTCAACCCAAATTAAAAAAGAACAAACAAATAAAAACGCATCGCGAACTCAAATTTAATTAGAAGAAGAGCCCAGCGACAACGACGGAGGCGAAGCCAGCGACGGACGAGAACTTCAAGCCATCAACACCGCTAGCGGGGGCGGGTGCGTCGGCCGCAGCCACGTCAGCAGCGGGGCCCTCGGTGGTGGGGGCAGGTGGGGAAGACACGTCGGCTTCCGGCGAAGCGGCGGAGGAGTCGGAGGACGGAGCGTCGGAGGATTCATCGGCGGACGGGGAAGAGGCGGAGTCGTCGGAGGAAGGAGCGTCGGAGGATGAGTCGTCGCCGTTGGGGGACTCGGCGGGAGATTCTCCGGCGGAGGACTTGGGAGACTTGGCCGGAGAGGAGGAAGCCTTTGGCGAGGAGGCCTTGGGAGACTTGGCCGGAGAGGAGGAGGAGGAGGAGTCGTCCTTGTCGCCGGACTTGGGCGGGGAGGCGGAGGGGGCCTTGGAGCTCTTGGGCGACGGGGAGCTCTTGGGGGAGTCCGCGGCGAGGGCGCCGACGACGGCGACGAGGATGAGGGCAATGACGAGAAGTTGTCGTGCCATTGTTTTTTTTCCTTTTTGTTTTTGTTTTTAGGGGTATTATAAGGTGTAATAATTAGGAGGTGAGATTCTATAGGAGGTGCAGTGTCGTTGGTTCTCTAGATCGAGTAGAGAAGACACTGCAGAAGCTATAGAATCATTTTCAAATTGTGGAGGTGAGGGACCAATTTATGGAGGATTTTTTTTTGCATGGGTTGCATGGAAGGGAAAGAGCAATGGTTGGTTGAGATTGGAAAATGCTATTTTTGGGAAATTACAACACCTTTGGGGTTGTTTTTAGGTTTTGACCGAGTTTAATGGGTGCTAAATTCTAGAGTTTTTAATATTTGTGTGGTTAAGGTATTAGGTATTTATTTACATGTGTTATTGTTGATTAGTTTGTAATCCTCCAAGGACGAGAAAAAACCGCATATATAGACATGTACAATATGCATATATTTAGCTTTTCAATAAATTAGGCAAACAAATATTTTTTTTTGTTCAACTTTTCAGATTAAGGACATATATGAATTTGGTTAATTATGTGGTCTATAAATGAGATGATATATATGCTCTGAAATCAGTATAATTATGTAATAGATTCATAAAAAAAGATTGTAAATATGTGTTATTGAGGTAATTCGCGATTAGATTAACTCGAAACTCATAACTACTTTAAATATGGACGCGAAATTACACTTCATCATGACTTATGGCACTATATGGTCATCCACATGTAGCTTTCCTTTGTTGTGATGATTAATTATACCGTATATTTCGGAAAAGGTTTCGACAAAATATGTTATTTGAACATCTTATGTTCCCTCTTCTTAACAATTGGCTAATATCTTCATCATAGCCTTGGATCTTTTTCAATTTGAAAATGGAGTCGACAAAAAAGATTATAATCATCCTTAACTTCAATGATACATTTGATATAAATTCATAGTTTGATGATCAGTTTGTCAATGAACTTTCCGGTGATGGTTTATGTAATTAACCCATGAATTCTGACTCCGACGTGGCAGTCATCATCTCTCTCTTCCCCCTCTGATTTTTCTTCTCGTCAAAATCCAAAAAACCTCTCCAAGCCGCCGTAAAACCCCTGCTTCAGCCGTGAAGCTAAATTGGGTTGCTCCGTCGCTGACCGATCGAACGCAGCAATGGCCGATGAACCCACCTCGATTCCTGGCTCCGCCGGCCGGACCGTCGAAGAATGCGAAGACATGATTCGGAAGAGCCTCCGGAGTAACTATTCCTCTCTTTCTCTCTTACATTTCAATTGAGCTCTTAGGGTTCTAGACTTCTTTTACTCACTCTAATTTCAGTTGCCTCTGAATTCTTGGAAAATAATCAATTGTGCACCTTCAGTTTACTCTGAACAAACGGAAAGTTCGTGTCTTGACAGTTAACTGTTTTTTCCTCTCTTCGACTTCATTTCAGCTCCAATGGTGAAATTTTTGAGGGAGAATTTGGAGAAAGCTGGGTGTGGAATTGGTGACAAATTCATCAAGGCCGTTCACTGTGATGGCAGTTATAGCGGGGGCTTCACTCCCGGTGAAGGGGTAGCATTTTGTTAGCTCTTCTCTCTTTTCTGTACATCCTTTGTTCAATTTTCAATCTTTCACAATGCAAGGTTCAAGTATCGTTTCTGTTGAATTTGGATGCTGGCATCAGTTATTTAATTTTTGTCTGTTTGGGGTTTCCAGATACAGGTGTGCAGCAATCAAATGAACATTCAAGATGAGGTCAATCAAGTGGTCATCCATGAACTTATCCATGCTTTTGACGAATGCCGTGCTGCAAACTTGGACTGGACTAATTGTGCTCACCATGCTTGTAGTGAGGTCTCTAGTCAATTTAATGCTTGCTGCTTAGCTATAATTGAACCTTCTTGAGTTGACACTTAATGTTGATGATTTTTTGTTGGTTTGTCTTCTGATATTAGATTCGGGCTGGCCATTTAAGCGGGGATTGTAACTACAAGCGGGAGCTGCTCCGTGGCTTCATGAAAATTAGAGGTCATGAACAAGTGAGTTTCACCAAATTCTTATATATATTGACATCTGACTGATAGCATTCACAGTTCTGTGTTTGAATTTCTGATACTTGGGCTATATAGCTTCGATCCATGCCAGAACACTAGCCATTTCCTAATCCCACTGATTCTCTATTATCTTTGGCCCATAGCCACTGCTTCATACTTCATACCATAGTTCTTCATCTCTGAATTCTGATCTGATACTTCATGTGGAACCTCAGAATCTAATATAACTTTTCCTTTCGAACTCTGAAGGAATGCGTACGTAGAAGGGTCATGAAATCAATGAAGGGCAACCCATACTGCTCAGAGGCTGCTGCAAAGGATGCCATGGAAGCCGTCTGGGATGTCTGCTATAACGATACACAACCTTTCGATAGAGCTCCTTGAGAACACACATTCATGGCCATCAGCCAATGGTTAAAACATGCGGATTGTCAATTATACCTTCTTGTTTGATTGACATCAGAGAACACACTGTTCCGTTGGAAGTGCCTTAGGTTGAAACCAGAAACATGGTTTATATTGTATTTCGATTACCATGTAGTTCCACTGAATGATCTTTCCCTACCTTGACCTTCAATGGGAAAGCAAACCCTGATCTTGTCTTGGTTTCGACCTGTTCCTTTTCTGGAAAGCCATCAGGGCAATTATTTTGATTCAGATAAACTTGATCATGTATTGTACACTTTCGCCAAGATTTGGTGGATAGAGTTCTCCAAGTTTTTGTTGGTACAAACAAGTGGCCGTTGCATTCATTTTCATGAATGACAGAACCTCGGAACTCCTGCAGATGTTTCTTGTGTACTGTACTTTGCTTGCACCTAAAAGATTTTTGTCTGGTTTTGTTAATAGTTGTCAAATTAGGGTCGGATTAATCTGAGATCTGATACTAGAACTGCACTGCTCTCTACAGTAGAATGTTGGAATTGGAGGGGAAAAAAGGTTCATTTGGGGCAAATGAACCATGTGATGGCCATCGGCCAAGCAGCACTTTACCCTTTCTTGATAGAAATTAAGCAACTTTAGAAGTTTAGAAAGAACAAAAAGAAACCCCAAGCATGTTCCCATATGCACACACAACTAAAAATCTTCCCTTTTTCCACTCCTATATCAAATATGCCTTGCTAATCTAAGATTCACCTATGTTTTGATCAAAATTCTTTAATTGGTGGGTCCTCTCAAATAGTGTTAATCCACTTGGTATCTTGAAATGTAGAAAAGGGGCTTCAGCAAGAACGCAAACTTGCATGCCTGTCATTTTTCGCTGCAGAGCTTTGACATGAAGAGGGTAGCTGTGTTGCTGATCAAGATGATGTTCTGCCTTTTGGTTTTAAGTCAGTTTTCCTCCTCAGCTGCTTCCAGACAACATTTCTCGCCAGGTAGGAACCGTAACCAAGTTTAACGGTTCTTGTATATCTTTGATTGTCTTTCTTCAAGCTGACAGCAGTTTTTATAATTTCCAGGTGAGCAGCAGCATCAGATGAAAGGAGCTGCCGGTGACGGAGCTGATGTGGCAGCTCCTTGGTGGTCGTCCGAGGACTACTCTTCCCCTCACAAGCGAAGGCATGTTAACAATGGCTTCGAGGAACCTTAAACAATGGTCGTATGTCTCGATGATGCCCTTCTTCAATCACTAGTGATTGTAAACGTATGGTGTTATTTTATACTCTTCCAGAGTAGCAACCTTTTTGGTGCAGAATGTTTTTCTGGTTTTGTATCTCAACAAGGGATTGTTTGGATTCTGTGATTATTCCATTCTGCTGTAGCCTGCCGCCGAGCCCCTTAACTGGATCCTGCAAAGTTACCTGAGGAAAGCTAAATTCATAGTGTACATGTTCCAACAAAACTAGTGTTCAATTTCTCAAGTTCGAGATAGGTCATCTAGGTTCTCGAATTATGAAATAGGTCATCTAGGTTTTGAATTATCATAAAAAGAAACGTCAAATTATAATCCTAAGTCGAATCACTTCGAAATAAAACAAACATTTGTTGAGATGTAAGTTCAATTTGCCACAAAGTATTCTATTAACAATTGAGGAAAGGATAAAAAAAAGAAATTTAGCGATCATAATATAAAGTTGGACCAGTTAACTGCTTATTTTGTAGCAATGTGTAACTTAAAATGATAATTTTTGCAAATTACTCCACTATATTATAGGTTATTGTAAAAATTATTAAAATGACATAACTTTCGGTGCCACCTTTGATTATTTACAAATTTAAAAATAAAAATATTTTGTTTATGATAATGAATCCGTCCTTAATCAGCCTTCTGACGAACACTATAATCATATTGATTAGGATTTAGGAAAACCTCCTATCTTATGACTAGCTAGCAAATTCATGGAAGCCTCCTTTCAAGTCTACCACGAGTAGGGCTGGCTATTTGGTCCAGGACTGTTTGGTTTTACCCGAAACCGGATCGTATAACTCGGATCGGGACCAGACTGGGACCGTATAGCAAACAACCCAATCTCATATTCGGGCTTATATTTTAGGTAAAAAACCGGATAAAGACCGGATAAGAGACCCCCAACACCTAAAATCAAGATCAAATTAGGACCGGACCGGGTCAAGACCGGACTGGATCAAAACCGGATTGTATCCAATCCAACCTTTGGTCCTTATATTCCCGAAAAGACCGGACTGGGACCAGATCAATTTGATCCAATTTAACCGGACCGTATAGTCGCCCCGAGGCCCATGAAATGGTGTTGGTCTAAAATGGACTGGTGCGCTAGAAAGGAATATGAGCTAGACAAGGAAACATGACGGTCGAATCACAGTGGACCAAGTGCAAGTGTGCAACACAACAAGAAAGCTAGGCTAGAGAGCGGGACAAAAACAGAGAGCAGCAATATCCTCCTAGCATAGAGCAAATCGCCCGTTGTCGATTGGAACATTGCTGTTGCTGTACATGTAAAAACGCGATCAATTACACCCAAAAATCCAACGAACCCTCATCGCTCCCCACGAAACGTGTCCCCGCCTTCTCCGCCCGCCTACCTTTGCCTCTCATTCAATTCCCCTTCTTCGATGCGTTTAAATCACCGCCACCGTCTCATTTCCCTTCTCCTCTATTCTCCTCCTGCTTCTTCTTTTTCCTCCACTCTGTTCCCGGTTCCGAAACGACCGGCAGCAATCGTCTCTGCAGTCGCTTCTTTCTTCTCAACGACAATGGCGCCCTCTGCCCCGGAAGACGCTTCCCACAATGCCGCATTGCTCTCTTCCTCCGGTGTCGGCGGCGACGTTTCCTCTGCTGCCCAGAAATCAAGGGTCACCATTATCGGAAGTGGTAACTGGGGGAGTGTGGCTTCCAAGCTCATCGCTTCCAACACCATCAAGCTCGCTTCTTTCCACGGTATAGCTTCGCTAAGGTTTTGAGGGTTGTGATTCTTTTTTGGTATTTGATTGCGGCATTGGGTGGAATTTGTTTCCTTTCAGTAAAGTAGCTTGCTTTGGTTGGTTAGTATCAGATAGAACGAGAATTAGGATAACTAGTGAAGCTTTTTCTTGCATGCATTGTCCATGGCGTAGCAAATAGGATGACTGGAGCTGAACTGTGGGCTGTATTTGGTTATGTAAGGGTTGGATTCTAGGTACTGGAAGAATGTCCTGAATGACGAGAGATATAATAAGCACACTTAAATTCATGATTCTTCCATTGTTAAGTGATTGTTCTGTATTTGGATTAGTTTCATAAGCCCTTCATCCATAAATTCTTTTGCTAAGTGGAGATTTTTCCACTTTGAGGATCAATTTTCATGTAATTTGACCATTAACTGTTGGAATCCAGATGAAGTAAGGATGTGGGTATTCGAGGAGAAATTGCCTAGCGGTGAGAAGCTGACAGAAGTTATTAACCGAACTAATGTAAGCTCCAAGCCACCATCATCCTGCCTCAATTTAATTCCTTTCTTTGTACTGATCACAATCTCTCTTGTTTCCTTGGGATTAGGAAAATGTTAAGTATCTCCCTGGCATAAAGCTTGGCAAGAATGTCGTTGCAGACCCCGACCTCGAGAATGCAGGTTATTATCGTTCTTACTTCGCCCGTTTTTCCTATGTTAGATCGAAATCTTTCGTTGATTTGATGAATGAATTTACACAGTGAGGGACGCAAACATGTTGGTCTTTGTGACCCCTCACCAATTCATGGAGGGAATATGCAAGAGACTTGTAGGGAAAGTGAAAGAAGGTTCTCAGGCTATTTCACTCATCAAAGGAATGGAGGTTAAAATGGAAGGCCCATGCATGATCTCCAGTCTAATCTCTGAGCAGCTCGGTGTGAACTGTTGCGTGTTAATGGGAGCAAATATTGCAAACGAGGTGTGTAAGACGGTTTTCTAATCGTCTGTTGTCAAATGCGTGTTCAGTGATTCGATATCAAATGTGGGGAAATGATGTCGCTTTCTTGATGCAGATTGCTGTTGAGAAGTTCAGTGAGGCGACAGTTGGATACAGAGAAAACAGAGAGATTGCAGAGAAGTGGGTGCAGTTGTTTAACACCCCTTATTTCATGGTCACAGCTGTGAGTAAAATACATCCCAACAGTAACCATATTATTTTGTGGCCAACTGAAGGGTATACTCAGAGATCATGTTTAATTTTTCCATGTTTTGATGAATGAACCAAAAGGTCCAAGATGTGGAGGGAGTTGAGCTATGTGGGACCTTGAAGAATGTGGTAGCACTGGCAGCAGGTTTCGTGGATGGTCTGGAAATGGGAAATAACACCAAGGTAAATGTGGAACATTTGCAATAAGGTATCTGTTTTTCCATTCAAACCTCACCTCACCTGTTTGTTTGGAGCAAATAATAGGCAGCAATAATGAGAATTGGACTAAGGGAGATGAGAGCCTTCTCCAAGATACTGTTTCCAACTGTTAAGGACAACACCTTCTTCGAGAGCTGTGGGGTGGCAGATCTCATCACAACCTGCTGTAAGCATCCTTATCAGTCTTTGGTTTATATTAAAACTTAAAAGCATGGATGATGTATGCTGAATCAGTCCACATGATATGTGCAGTGGGAGGAAGAAACAGAAGAGTTGCAGAAGCATTTGCAAAGAGTGGAGGGAAAAGGTTGGTCCTTTAACACCATTTCTGGACTAGACTTCCATTCAAAGATGGGAGAAGTGCAGAAATCAATGTTGAACCTTTTTTATGCAGGTCCTTCGATGAGCTAGAGGCAGAAATGTTGCAGGGTCAGAAGTTGCAGGTAAAAGACTCTGTCAGAAGCCTGCTGATTCTGCATTTTACCTTCTCTATCTGTGCTGCTGGCTAATCTTTATGTTAATACGAAAAGGGAGTTTCAACGGCAAGAGAGGTATATGAAGTTCTATCCAACCGCGGGTGGCTGGAGCTGTTCCCACTCTTTGCAGCAGTGCACGAGATCAGCAGTGGACGCCTCCCACCTTCTGCTATTGTTGAGTATGGCGAGCACAAGCCAAACTTCTCTGCGGTAGAAGGCGCTGCTCAATACTTCTCTTCATGAGTGATGCTGCTATTATGCTTGCAAAGACGTTCAAGGTATGTTGCAAGAATCTACTGCCCTTCTAATGCAAATATTATCACTGAAAGCTACATATCAGGAAGTACCAATGCTTGAGTTTGAAACAACTTACCGCAACAGATTTCTGTGTTCTTTTCTTTACATGTTCTGCACCAGAAAGGCAGAAGTTTATGCGTTTGTTTAGTGAAACAATGATGCAACAGCATTTTGTTTTAGTGATTAATGATGTAATAGCATAATAGCCCTGCAGAAAATAGTAATTATTGTACCATACTTCATTTACACAATAAGAATGAAGCTTTTCTTTTTGCTCTGAATCCACAGAAATCATAGATGACATTCATGGTTGGATTTCAAGATTATCCTTGTTTAACGTTTATTACTTGGCAATAAAGATAAAGACTGATTGAGATCGAGTCAAAACATGTGCAATGTGCCAATACTAAACTTCCCCACCTTTCTCATTTCATGCTCTTATATTATACATAGAGACAAAGACATCCCAGCTACACAACCATAGAAGGAAGCACAAAAAAAACCACACTCAAAAGCACAATAACCCCCACAAATAACAAAAACCAAATTGACCACAAGCTCTACAAAAGTCAACCAGTCCGTATTCTGTCCACACTCTTCCTCCCTCTCTCCAACTGGTGGTCGACGCTCTTCCTCGACTTCTCAAGGCAGCAGTCGACGCTCCTCCTCGACCTCTCTACCTGATCAAATGAAACCCTCAGCTTCTCCGCATAGTTTGATTGGTTCTTCAGCTTCTCCAGCTTCTCGCTGAGGTTGTTGCTGTTGCTCTTCAGCAGCAGCTTGTTGACATCAGTAGGGGGCAGTGCCTTGTCAGTGCTGTGTCTAGGCTTCTCCCTTCTGTCAGTACTCTTCCTCGAGGCCTCAAACACAATATCAGTGCTCTTTCGAGGAGGAAGCAGCTGCTGGTCCGTGCTCCTTCTCCTTGAACCGGTGTACCTTTGAGAAGGCGGTTTCTCCACGGTCAACACAAACTTCTTGAGGTGCCTGATGTACTCTGGATGGTGCTCCAAGTCACAGTGGTTACCTCCTTTGAGCCACAGTGGTTCATACTTCTCTTTGCTTAGTTCCCAAAGTTGCTTGCCATGGGAGCAATCTACTACTTCGTCTGCAGTTCCCTACATACCATTAATCAAACACTGAACATCAAAATGTAGACCAGGAAAGAAGCATGCCACTTCAGCTAGTACTTGAAGTAGGTGGTCAACTTGGAGGTATTCAGGAGTGAGCTTGTATACTATATTTTGTCTTTAACAGCTGACATAATTTAGTTTTGGCTGCTTTCTATATTTTGAAAACTGGTCTACCAGCAAGTGACCAACACGACAGCAGTCATTTTGTATGCATTTGAGGGTTTTTGGCATAGCTTGTTATACATAAATATATGGTACAGTGTACTGTCATGTATTTCTGGAAGACTTTGGATCATATATTAATATGATACTCAGAGGAAAGAACGAAAAAAAAAAAAAGAATAATAGAAGATGGATAATGATAGGTAGAAGGTATTTGATAAAATAGATTCTAGAAACATGAATTCTGCCGTTTAGGCCAATTCACTTTATAAACTATCGCCATAATCAAATACATCAAACCAAACACATTCAAACAAAATTGAATCGAACAAGGAAACATGGAAAATGGATCCAATGAGTAAACAAGGAGCTGCACAAATTGTGGAGGTAATTATGTTATCCCTTCTTTTAAGGGAACAATGGTCTAGCATAGTAGTGTGGTTCTACTAAGCTCTGTCATAGATAGAAATACAGCAAACTACAAACATACTTACATGGATCACAAGAACAGGACAATCAACCAATTGAATCTTGTCGATATTCTGCCACAAGGAACAAAACCAAATCATTTCAAGACCCCATGCTTGCATTAAAAAGGCAAGGATAGTGATAGATAGATTATGGATGGTTATAAACTTGCAGTAGTACCTTGTAAATGTCAAACCAGTAAGATTTCTTAACTGGGTACATGACCCTCAGCCCTGAAAGTATGGGACTGTGCAGGACAACTGCCCTTAGATGAGGCAGTCGGGCAGCTAGATCTAGTGTAGGCCCGCTGCCAACAGACTGCCCATAAAGGATGATGTCTTCTTGCTTTGCACCATAGCCTTCTTCCAGACACTTGTAGACTGCTTCAATGTCTGCATACGTGTGTTGTTCACTTGGCTGCAACATCCAAAAAAAAAAAAAAAATGAATGGCCTTTACACCAAAAAACATAGTAACAGCTCAAGTCCTTAGAAACCCCACGACCTTTTGATGATCTTGGACTCCTTATATCATGTCAAGAACTGATTTCATCGTAATAACTCGCATAGTTGTTGATAGAAGTTCTAAACTGTATCTCATTTTCTTACCTTACAATTCTCTCGTATGCCCTTTTAAACAGCACCTTTGTACCCCAAAGTTCAAAATTTGTAGCATATAGTACTTTCATGTTTAGGTTGTAAGTGGTTATTTGAATTCATACTTCTGAATGTTCATAACACCATTTCAGATATAGTTAAAAGTTCATATAAGACTCTTACATTATTCTCTAACATGCGCATCATGCCAATACATGTACACCACACATAGTAAATGAGGTAAGGAATCCAACATCACCTTTCCAGATGATTGTCCATATCCAGAGTAGTCATACCTGCATCAAGTTCAGGATTGAGCTGGATAAACAACACAAAGCCTTGAACTTTTTCTGATAAAAACTAATCTTCATTGCATTTAACAGTATTCAGATAACACTCGGAGCTAAGTATATAATTTTGTATCAATAACTTGAATCATTGAGGAACGGCTTTAGGATCTTTTGAAAATCAATCCACGGACTCATCGTCAACTTGTTCAACATATAACCTTGTACCGTCAGCATTCAAAGATAAGACCTTTCAACCATCAAGTTCTAGTTGTTGACTCTCTCCTATTTGGCACAAAATTGACCGTGTAAGAAATGAAAAACAGAAAAAGACGTATTTTGTACTATGGTGAAAGGATTTAAGGCTTACTACCCCATGAGATTGACCCGCAAGTGGATGCTCAACTCGACGAAGAGCTCATACATCTGCCCCAGATCGGCGGCGTTCCCATGGGAGTAAAGTAGAGTGGAAGTAGCCATGGGATGTCTTATGTACATCCCCACTACCTCCGTCCCCTTTCTCGTCGGCAGCTTCAGGATTTCCACGTTTTCCCGATGTGGGAAAGTGCTCAGCAGCAGCAGACCCGTCATTTCGTCTGCCACCAGCTTGTACGATGGTGGGTTCGGCGGAAAGAAGGCCAATTTTGCCGCCATCGATGAAGTGACCCCTCCCATCTCCCTCTATCTATACTCTGTTCCCCTACCTCCCCTGTTTCTACTGAACTGAACTTGCACTGTTTCTCTCCTTCCTCCAACGGAGCAGAGTTTCTTCACTGTTCATCAAAACGAAAGGGGTGGAAGAAAGAAAGAGGAGGAGAATGGGGAAAGAAACATCCCAAAGGTTTCCAGAAGAACAAACAGACCTTCTTCTTCTTTCTTTCTTTTTGCTGCAGAGGAAAAGTAAAGGTAGCAGGGAAGTTCTTTTTCCCTTTTGTTTATCTGCTTTTATTGGATCCCTCGGCTGGCCAGAAGAATGTGGCTGCTATTTTTAGATAGAGAGAGAGAGAGAGAGTTTGCTTTTACATTGGGGCATATCATATCATATCATATCATATGATCAGTAGATTGTTATAAAGGCAGGAGGGAATTTGATTGACATTGAAGCTTAAATTATTTCTCTTGTAATGACTGGTAGCGTAGGGTCTCTCATTTTCCAATTGAATGTATCATTTTCGCCCAAGATTTATTAAGGAAATGTGACTTTATACAATCTCGATTTGAAGAGTGTAACTTGAACACGACATTTTAAAATTTGCATCGTTATCTGAAGCATGATCGTAAATATGAATATGATAGATCATTTGGTCTAGAATTATTTTTATATGATTGAATCTTATGTTCAATAAATCACCATTTCAAAAAGTTCATATGTCAATTACTTAAATGATTTGTGGAACACATGATCTACTAACATTAGAATGTCCTTATACCAACTCGATAATGATGCTAACAGAAGTGGTGCAATAGAGCAAAATGGATTTTCATCTCAGCTGCATGTTGAGTATTTTGCAGCTGTAGTTATATGGCGAATAAAGATGGTGGATTGGGGTTGCTCTTTTCTCTTTCTCTTTGTGTAGCTTTGTTGGGATTGATGATTGGATGGCATTTTGAATGGGTGAAAACAAAAAGAATTTGGAGGGAGTGACTAAAAGTAAATCAATACAATAGTGTACATGAATTGAGTTGTTTCAAACTTGAAAAGAAATGGTAGAGTAGTGATATATAGGTAATTTGATTTATTTATGGAGTAGAGTTATGCTCATTGACATCGTTCTTTTTTATGTGGTAATTTGCTATCGGATTGGGGCAAGTTAGGAAATGTCACAAGTAGGTCATGTATCTAGATTTAATGCAAATGGGGAGTACTTCAAGTTCCTGGTATCAGACAACCGTGTTTGATGCAAGTTAGGGAATCCCACGAGTAGTTTAGGTATCTAGATTGGATGTGGATGGTGAGTATTTCAAGTTTATAATTCTGAGAGTTTGAGCATTACTACGCTTTGAGAGTGTACGACTCATTCTCTGATTTTATTTATATAATGATAATTGTTGGCCCCCAAGATTTGAATATATTGTATAGCGAATACTATCATCCCCATGACTCATGTTATTGTTATTTATGTGAAGAGAATGGCATTTATGGCGAGTTTTGAGACAAGATGCTTCCAAGACCATGTTTAAAAAGAAATAAGAAATTCGTCGAGTGATCCTAATTTGTTTTTCTATGATTGAATTTGAATGAATTTCTGTCAATAAAATTTTATAACACATTTCAAATTTCATTAAAATAAAATGTGTTACGAAAATTGCTTGAAGTACAAACTCCTATATCAAATTTCTCTAGGAAAACCTCGATAATAAGAAGGAGAAAGATAATATATTATAGAAATTTGTGTGGCGTGAGAGTGAAGGAAGGCTAGCTGCCTCACATTCACGGAGGCATCTCTGTGTGGCTATGGGATGGGAGAATTGTTTGCACCACTAACGTAACTTTAATGCTCTCGATAAATAAAGTTGACACACAAATACCATTAAAAAAAAAAAAAAATTGACACACAAATCTATACACGCCAACCCGTCCATGAGAAGTTGAGAACTCAAGGTTAGTAAATACCAGTTTGTGCCTTGAATATGAAGGGAAATGAATTTTACCGCCGGTAAAAAGATAAGTAAAGAACTTCTCTGGTTTCTAACCCCTGTGAATCTATGAATTGAGAACCACCATTTTTTCGCAATGCCATGCACGTGCCCCTTCAATTCTTCCCAAGATCCTCCCTAGGATTAATTAGGAGACCAAGAACACTTACCCATTATATGGAAACATGGCTGATATCCGGCGGTATTGATTGATTATGTAGATTAAAAATATGTAATGACAATTCATTTGAAATGATTTTATTATAATCTTATATTGTATTACTTTAATTTTACTTTCACTTGTTAGTCTCACCGATACGATTAATCTCTACTAAGATTTCATAATCTATTTTGACTCGTGACTAAATATATGAAATTATGTAAGTAAAAAGTGTACATGCTTTTTATCAGTAAAAAAACTGTTGATCAAGTATTAATATAATAACAAGACCTGGCCCAAAATTCCCCTTAGAGATAACATGGGAGGGAACAAGAAAAGGGTTGATTGCAAATCGATGAAGGGAAAGGAACAGATTAATCGGTAATCATAGAGGTAACTTAATTATAAGTCAAAACTAATCATGATATATATAAAAAAAAAATAGTAATCATAGTGATGGGAAGGAAGAAGTAGTGGTTATTATAGTTAGTAAAATACGGTACGGTAAATTTACGTGAAAATACGTACGGGTATTTTACGTCATTTCTAAGTTAGTGTAACGTTTAATAGTACGTTAATAGTCATAAATAGATAAAATTAATTATTTTAAAAATAAATAAATAAATAGTAGTAAAGTTCACTGTTTAATTCTTTAAATATGGATATTAAACGTGTTATACGGGTTTTATACGTGTTTAGTACGGGAGCCATCAAATGAACGGAAAAAATGAAACGGCTTGACAATAATACAGATACGAAAATTTTAAACGGATAAAGTACATACGGGTACATATACGTGTATTAAACGGAGTATTTACTAACTACGGTGATTATTAATTGGACAAGAAGGATGGAAAAGACCTGCGCCCTATTTCCATATATAAGTGTCCATCTATGATAGTACGATGTTTGTAGGCAAAATTGACACTGATCATTATAATTTTGGATTTGGCTCCGTTTTTCTCGGAGGGCGAAAAGTAGGCGATCTTCCACATTAGGTTTCGTTTTTCTCATCGATGGCGGCGGCCTCGCCGTCGGCAACGCCGGCTAGGAATAACAAGCCCCCGGATACTGGTGGGGTCCGGCGTCCTGCTGAAGGCTCATCCTCCCCAGATGGGAAGAGCGCAAAAGAGACGGTCCAGGCAAAAAAGAAGGTCCGACCTCTTGACCTAGATCCGACTGACAAGGAGATGGGGGAAGAACCGGAGACAATGGAGACTGATGCTAAGGATAGAAGTACGACACCGACGTGGGCGAACAACCCGGGACGTCGTTTTGCGGATGTTGTACAGCAAGATAACTGGTACGTGGCCGATTCTGATTCGGAGGATGTAGCCCTGGCGGAAAAGGAAGAAGATGATATTCTTGATGAAGAAAACTACGACCCAAAGTGCCCTCCTATTTTGTTTACGGCAGCAGAAAAAATACGTTGGCGCCGGGAATGGAGGTCAGCTCTGGTGGTGAAGGGACTTGGACGTCGAGTATCGTTCATACCCTTATCTCGTCGTCTGAATGCGATGTGGGCAAGATACGGGGAAATACAGATATCTGACATGAAGAATGGATGTTTTTTGGTTAAATTCCGGAGCCAGAAAGACTATGATTTTGCAACTATGGGTGGACCTTGGATGCTAGGAGATACTTATCTGACGGTTCATCGGTGGTTCAAAGGTTTTAACCCATGGAAATCAGTGGTGACGTCTACCATGGTCTGGGTGCAGCTACCGGATCTCCCAATTGAGTTCATAAATAAGGAAGCGGTGATGCGTATAGCAGCTGCGATTGGAAAGCCAGTCCGAGTTGATAGGGCAACGGAACTGGGAGCTCGAGGCAAATTCGCTAGGGTGTGCGTGGAAGTGGACTTAACAAAACCTCTCCTATCCCAGTATAAGGTTGAGGGGGTGACCTACCTGATTCAATATGAGGGTCTTGAAAACATTTGTACCAATTGCGGTACTTATGGGAGGTTGGCGGCGAACTGTCAGTGTACGAAGGACGAGAGCATGGAAGCGGAGGGCGGGGAGGCTGAACCAGTTGTGATTATGGAGGATCCAACCCATGGCCAAACTTGTGGAGAATGGATGGTGGTAAAAAAGAGAGACCGCCGACCAGCTCGCCGGGATCATAGAGAAAAGCAGGGAGGGGCTCCTAATATGAATCATAATAGGTTTGACGGTTTATCTACGATGGAAGGACAGGAGGAGAGTGTTGAGGAAAAGGAAGAGAACTCTCCACTCACCCGGTTGTGGCGACGGAACAGGCGAGCCAGGCAAAGAAGGATGAGGCCAATACACGTGAAAAAACACATGCAGAAATGCATGGGAACAATTTAAGAGGGTCTGTTACGAGTGGACAATTAAATGGGGCTAGGGGGAAGGAATGTGTGAATGATCGTGGAAGGAAGGGAGATATAAGGGTTGGGATGGCTAGCGATGACGGGAAAGTTAACCTGACGGTGAAAGGAGCTGGCCCGACAAAAGATAATTTTGTAATATCTCCAGAACGTAGCACAGCGGGGAAACATAAGCCAAGAGATCGAGTGGAAGATAACCAGGCGAAAACGAAAGGGATATGTCTAAAGGTGCCGAATCAAACAAAAATTGCTGAGGGTGGGGGGAACCGATCCCCTTCGGTCGTTAAATGAGGATTCTCAGTTATAACTGCCGTGGGTTGGGGAGCTCACGTGCAGTTCGAGCTCTGAAGTCGCTAATACGGCGTATCTCCCCACAAGTTGTGTTTCTGATGGAAACGCGACAGTTACAAGATGAGAATGCTGAAACTAGGAAACAACTAGGTTTCCCGAATGGAGAGAGCTATCCGTGTGATGTTTCACGGGGTGGTCGTGGGGGTGGTTTATGTTTGTGGTGGATGGAAGAAGTTAATTTATCTCTGATGGGTAGTTCCTCCCATTTCATGGATGCGAAAGTAGAAGAAGCAGAGGGTGATAGTTGGAGGTTTACGGGAATTTACGGCTGGCCGGAAAGTGCAGAGAAATACAAAACGAGGGACCTTTTGAGATCTATGTCAGCTCAGTGGTCGGGACGGTGGCTTTGCGGGGGTGATTTTAATCTCATAATGTCGGATGAAGAGAAGAAAGGAGGAGGTTTGGCGGCAGAGGCGGAGATGACAGCTTTCAAGGACTGCCTTGGGGATGCGGGTCTAGTTGACCTGGGTTTCCAGGGATATCCGTTTACGTGGGAGAATAGGCGGCGAAATGGCGGATACATAGAGGAGAGACTTGATCGTTTTGTAGCAAATGACAGCTGGAAGGAAAATTGGGTGAATGTGCGTGTAATCCATTTGGAAC